CTCTCTCGCCTGTTTGTAAACTGAGCATGCTTCATAATAACATAAAGCGTGCATGTGTTGTTTACGACGTTATGTACAAAGAGGTAATCGTGCTTTAGGCCTTCATCAGTACATGCTGGGACCATGTACATGTTCTTTTGTCTGCACTGAACATCAGCAGCTCCACATGATGTCATTGGAAACATCCTTAGAAACAGCACATAAAATTGAATCTAGTACAAAAGAGCAGAGCTCCTGCATTGAGTGGCACCAATTAAGAAGATACAGAGTCACATCCTCCAAATTTAGAGAGCTCTGTCACACCAGAAGTCACAGCTCTGCTGTAAATCTTGTTAAAAGGCTACTGAGACCCAGCCATCAGACTGCAGACAAGAGGAGGGGGCTTGAAATGGAGCCTGCAGCTGTAGAGGAGTACTGCAGAGCAAGGGATGTGAACCACTACCCTTGTGGGTTCCTCATCCACCCCGACGCCTGGATGTGATCATCACCTGATGGTATTGTCTATGACCCACAGGGGCAACCAGTCTTTGGCCTCCTAGAAATTAAATACCCAATGTAGTGATCTATGTGGACTGCCCTTATATAAAGATCAGTGAGGGCACACACACACTCAGAAAGTCCCATCCTTACTTTTGGCAAATCCAGGGCCAGATGCTGATTTCCGGTTTAGACTGGTGTGACTTTGTTGTCTATACACAGGAAGACATGTTTATCCAGAGAATTCCCCGAGACAAGGAAACCACCATCTTTTTCTATGTGTACCTACCCACTTCCTTAGATAGCTAGACTGAAATTAGACTGCCAAGCAAAAGTGCTCAGTAGGAAGCAAAGGCGTCAGCAGTGTGTTCTCCATGATGGATTCAATTTTAAATGTATGTTGTTGTTTTGCACTAGGTTAATTATTTGGTTAGAATGTTTCCATTGTGCTTAAAAATGAAATGTTTTACACTTGTGAGAATGTTTTTGCAATACAATGTGATCGATAGCATGGGAGTGTTTCATGTATAAATGTAATTTCTAAAGAAAAGAAGGTAAGCAAAAGAAATCTGGGTCCAAGTTAAATTGGTCAAAGTGAATGTATTTCAACAAACCAATATTCAATGACTTCAACAACACCAAACAGATTTCATGTTAGTATATACAGATAATTACTATTTACAAATGAACATTTTGCCCTTAAAAGAATACAAAACAAATTTCAGTATCGTTAATTGGAACCACAGTGATCAGGATACTTGCGCGTGCCCGTCCTACATGAAAAGGGAGCAACTTGGATCACAAATCCTGATTCTCTCTGTGATTATCAATGGAGAATTTAAAGGAAAGCACAACATTTTTTACACAACTTGAACCGCAAACCATCATTGACGAATATGAAAACTTCATTTAACAGCCAAATCAAACACCTCGGCATCAGCAAAGGCCAGACGAGCAGCTTGGCAAGCGATTGCAGACAAATTAAATGTGTAAGTGTAAAGAATATGCTAATTGGCTGTACACTGTTCCTGTCAAAATAAACAAATAAATAAAAGAAAAATCCTCAAAAGCAACGAATCAAGATTACAGCTGACCCTCTGCACCCCCTTTGCTCGTAGTATGAACTCTTGACTTCAGGGTGCAGGTACAGAATGCCCCAGATGAGGACTAAAAGAGGCATTACATCTTTAGTACCACACAGTATTCAGCTGCTTAATAAGCTTTGATTATACAGGATGAACTCGGCACTCTGCACTTTATTTCACTTGCTACTGAAATCACTCAGTTAATCATGCAATGCTTTACTGTGTTCTTGTTGTCCTGTAAATGTTTGTTTGTATAGTGTGTTTTATGCACTCTGTGCAAGGCAGATTCCTCTAGGGGCAATAAAGGTTTCATTCATTCATTGAAAAATGTCTGCAGTTCAGCTAGAGATACCAGAGAAGAAGTGAGACTTAATTATATAATTATAAATACCTTCAGAAACAATTTTGACTTTTTATGTTCTTGTTCCTCTTTTGAAGAGCGTAGGCAGACGCTACAGTGTCCCTCTGGCACAAAAAACATTAAAAATGTATTTTGTTACTGTTGGGACAGACAATAAAGTTTATCTATCTATCTATAAAAAGATTTGACTCAATCAAAGTGTCTGATTCTTGAACAATAACATCAAACTATTGAATATCTGTGCTCTGCTGACCTCTGGTGGTCAAAAATAGAACTGTTTGAGTGTGTTATTTTAACTTCAACACTGAGCTAACAGTTCAAATATTTGTAAGTTTAAAGACAGTAAGAACTCTGAGGTCAAAGGTCAAAGGCTCAGTTCTGTTTCTGAAGTAAAGCTCTGTGTTTCATACTGAATATATCACCTGGAGGAAGAACTCTGAATACTGAACTCTGTCTCATCATCAATCTCATCTTTCATCTTTTCTTCAAACCTTTCTCTCCTTTGTGTCCTACATAAAAACATAAAACTCTTTAGAGATGACCAAAAAAAAAAGGTAAGACTTAAATTCAATTGAGCAACACAGATTAATAAGGGTTATAGAGGGAGAAAATATAAAAAAAATAAGTAGAGAGTATTGTTCACTGTGGATCAGGAGCGCCCTCTACTGGACAACCTTCATGATGACACCATATCTAAATGATCCTAATGGTGGTTTCTCCATTAAATATTTTTTAAAATGTTTTGTTTTTATATCACCGCATTTATATAAAAAAATCACCCATCCATCCATCTATCTACATTTTCTTCCTTATCGAGGTCGGGTCGCTGTGGCAACAGGAGAAGTACGTCAACCCAGACTTCCTCCCCTTCAACATTTTCCAGCTCCTCCTGGAGGATTCTGAGGCATTCCCAGGACTGAAAAGATATCCCTCCAGTGAACTCTGGGTCTACCCCAGGGGGTTCTCCCGATCGGGCATGCCTGAAAAAAAACCTCCAAAGGGAGACGTCCAGGAGATCCAATCAGACGCCCGAAACAGAAAAAGCTCATTAATGAGCTTAACTGAAAAAGGGACTAATGAGTTTTTGAAGCGGTTGTGTTTGCACAGAGGAACCCTGTACCTTCTCCCTGAGTTCAACAAAACATATTCAGAGTGCAATACATGGGAAGTGTCCAATAAAATGCCCTTGGCCTGTGTGATTGTGGCCTGCTCAAAAAGATCCTGTGGGGTAAGAGGGGCACACATTCCCATGATCTTGCCTGCTGTCTTAACCAGGCTGAGGATCTGAGCTTTAGATTTTAAACCAAACACTCTTAGTCTCCTGAGAAAATGGAGGCGCTGATGGATTTTGGCACACACGCTTGCCACCTGTGTGGCACCGCCAGCTAAAATCCAGCTAAAATCATTGTCAATATGCACCCCCAGGTCTTTCTATGAGGTGACTTGTTCAATGCTGTGACCATGAATGGCCACAGGGCTCCGGTTTCCGACTGATCTGGGGTCCAGCAACATCTCAACAGTTTTACGAATGTTTACGTGCAGTTGATGAGCATCACACCAGTCCACAAAACTGTCCACAAAACTGTCCATAGCAGCTCTGTGGCTACTTGGGTTCGAATTATTTGTGAGTAGACTGAGGATGACAGTATCATCTGAGAATTTCACGACATATTTGTTTGGCTGGGTGCTAACACAGTTATTAGTATACAGAGTAAACAAGAAGGGTGAACTGACACATCCCTGTGGGGCCCCCGTGCTGCTTACTGCTGTTTCAGAGAAGACAGAATAAAATTTCACTTGTTGTGGCCTGTTTAAAAAAAAGGAGTCGTACCACTTGATTAAAAAAGGGTTCACATCTAGCTCAACTAGTTTTTTAAGAAGAATGTGTGGCTGGATTGAGTTAAAAGCTGAGCTAAAATCAATAAAAAGCAGTCTGGCATATGCAGCAGGACTTTCGAGGTGCTTCAGAACAAGATGCATTATTGTTGAGATGGCGTCACTTGTGCTACGGATTTTTGTGTAAGCGAATTGGTAGGGGTCCAGGGATGGCTCCACCTCCGAGTGTAGCTCCTCTGTTATGAGTCTTTCCAGTGATTTCATAACATTTTAGGTGAGAGCCACAGGCCGGTAATCATTGTCCTCCTTGGGGCATGCTTTTTTGGGAACTGGGATTATTATTGATTTTTTCCATAGATCTGGTACTGAGTGTGTATCCATGGAGAGCTGAAAGAGTTGATGCCAGGCTGGTGTAAGTTCCTCTGCAAATGTCTTTAAAAGAAAGGCGGACAGGTTGTCCGGCCCTGTTGCTTTGTTGGTGTGCATGGCTTTAAAAACCTTAGTAACAGAGTGTGGGTTAATTCAGATTAAATTCTCTAAAACTACACAACATTCCTTGTGAGTGTCAGTTTCATAGCGCAGATAAAAGTTGTTAAATTCATTTGCACGTGCAGTTTCGTTGTGTGCAGATAGGGGCTTCCTTTTTTTGTCCATGTTGGTCATTCCACTGATGGAGTCCCACAGTTTCTTTGAGTTGGATTGGGACAGTTCCTGTTCTGCTCGTTCCCTGTGCTGCAGCCGTGCCGCTCTCATCTGCTGGTTCAGGTCTTTTTGTGCAGCTCTGACTCCTGCAGTGTCTCCTGATTTGAAGGCGGACTTCTTCCTGTTGATGCATTCCTTTATTCCCCTTCTAATGTAAGGTTTACTGTTTGGGAATCTCTCAGTTTTCTGGGGTATGACTGAATCAACACAAAAAGAGATGTAATCTGTGATTGATTCTGTGGCAGTGTTAAGGTCAGCATCCTCAAAGAAAATGTCCCAGTTAGTGCTAAGGAAGCATCCTTTTAGCTCCTCTGTTTTGTCATTGGACCCCACCTTTACAGTGTGTAGTTCTGGTTGACTGGGCTTGAAAACTGATCGATAGGTGGGGAGCAGTTGGATCACGTTATGGTCAGAGTTGCTGAGGGGGCGTCTGGCTCTGGCTGTGTAGGCATCTTTAATGTTGCCATAGCACTTATCAAGGATGTTGTTGTTTCTAGTGCTGCACTTAACATATTGATAGAAGCCAGGCAGAGATTTGTTCAAGCTGCAGTGGTTAAAATCACCAGGAATGAGCATGGGGGCATCAGGTTTGTTCTGTAGATGTAGGTGGACACAGTCTGAGATTTGGCTAGCTGCTCTATTGGCGTTTCCACTTTACACAACACAAATATGTTGGTGAATTCCCTTGGCAGGTAGTGTGGTCGCAGGGTAACACACAGCAGCTCGAGGTCCGGGTTTCATATTCTGTTTCTTATGGCAACATTACGGCACCAGCTGTCCTTGACATAAACACAAACTCCTCCTCCTCTTGTTTTGCCGGAGTTTTCACCTCTGTCTAAACGTATGTGAGTAAACCCATTAATTTGTATAAAACTATCCGGTACATCATCCCTAAACCAAGTCTCTGTAAATGCCATCAGTCCAGACTCACGGTATTCGTAGGATGCTCCGACCTGTGCCCGCAGGTCGTCCAGTTTGTTTTTAAGCGAGCGGTTGTTACACAGGAGCAGGGGCGGCAGCTTGATGGCTCCTCGGACACACTGCCTGATGCCGCCTCTCCGGCCCCGCTTCCTAGCCTTCCTGCCTCAGCAGAGATGGCCATCCAAGATCCTGGATGCTGGAGAACATTTAGTCTGCAGGGCTCAGAGAAATGTCTGCATGTCTAGGGCTGTTCTGAAACACCCTGAAGAGAGAAAAGAGTTACTTTTAAACTTGAACTTTTTGGAAATGGACAAAGTTAATCTGAATGAGTTAGCGATCATTGAGCTGAAAATCTCTGCAGTCTGTTTATTTGTTAGGATCCCCATTAGCTGTACCCGAGAGCTCCAGACAGGTATTTAAATAAGGTTAAAAAAAAGCGAAAAACGACCAACACCTCTTTGCATATCTTACAGATACGATGCCCCGAGGTGTTTCTTTGGTTGTTTTAAAAATCGATTTTTGTGTTCATTTAGTCAAGAAAAATGGTGAAGCATCCATGTTGTCATTGCTCTATATGACTGTACGTTGTTGCTCGTCTGGTGGCGTATGCATGTGACTCTAAATTCTGACTTTATTGATATAAAGGCGTTTTGAACTGCTCAAGTTTCCATGTAGCAAGTAGAAGTGAAGATGTGATCCACTGTCAGCCAGCTGAGACGACTTTGCATGATGTTGATGTTAGTGTTATACGGACACTGAAAAACCAGGCGTGCCGCCTTGTTCTGTACAAGCTGCAGTCTGCTTCCACCTTTTTTTGTGGCATTTCCCCAAATTATCTGGAAATAATCAAGCTGTGAAAGAACTAGAATACCCAGAGCAAGCTTCGTTAAGTCAGGAGTAAGGTAGTTTACTACAGCTGTTGACCTTCCCATTTTATTAACGGTAGTGTGTTTGTGTTTTGATCAGGACAATTTGTGATTCCCAACAGTTGAGTTTCCTTTACTTGCTGAATCGTTGTTATTTATAAAGAGATGAATCTCCGGCTCGCGTCTTAGAGAATGATTTGAACCAAATACTAAACTCTTTGTTTTGGATGTGTTCATTCTGAGCTTATTTTCCAGGATCCATCTTCCTGTGGTATCTAGCTCCTTGTTCATGATAACAGTTCAATCAGCAGGTGTTGTTGCTGATGTATATATGTACATAATTAATTTAGCATTTGTTAATACGAGAGGTAAATCATTAGTAAAGATGGAAAACAGGAGGGGGCCGAGACAGCTTCCCTGAGGAACACCACATCCCACAGACACACAGTCTGAGTAGCTTCCATTAAAGGAGACTCTGTGATCTTTTTGATAGCTCCTCAATCCATAACAATCCAGCTTTTTAAGAAGAAGCTTGTGATTGATGACATCAGTCTAACAGGCTATAGGCATGTTGGAATTATTTGATGAAGTTATTCTCTGAAAGGTATTTTTGTATTTGATGAAAAACTGCTCTATCAAAGATCTTACTGAGTGCTGGTAACACGCTAATGGGACGACTGTTAGTCTCACCTCATCTTTTTTTCCTCTTAACATCAAGTCGTCTTCTGGATTCGATCGTTTCTTCAAAAGGAAAAATTGAAAGTGAGCGACATTTAATGATCTCACTGTGAAGCTGATTGAGAGTAAAGAGATATAAAACATACCTTGTCGGGAGTTCCTGCTGAACTTTTTTCTGTAAGACAACATGAAACAAATCATTGATGGTATCTATGATGAAACATGATCATGTTTTTATTGTCACATTATAAATTCTTACTTCTGTTTAGAAAACGTTTTATCTTCTCTCTGTAACACCATGCTGTTAATACAAGCACGAGAACTAAAAGAACCACAACAACACCGACTATCAGTCCAGTCCAGTCTGATGGTATATCTCCACACTGAGCGTCCTCTGTCTCAGTTCCTGCTCTCAGCAGCAGCAGACCCTCTGATTCACATCTGTAATGATAGAGGGACAGTTATTACAGGAACATCTGGAGAGTCCATGTGTGATGTGAAGCTTCACTCACTGTTTGTGATTCTGACAAGATGGAAACGTCCCATCTGAAAATGTTCCATCAGAGCAGGTGGAGCATATGGTGTCTGTGGAGGAAGTTCCTGCAGGAAATACACACAGTGACAGTTTTCAATATTAAACTAAATACATGATGAGATCTTTAAAGCAGAATCTCAGAAAGAAACACCTGAAAACATTTTTTAGTCTGAAGTCCAGATTAAAGATTAAAGACTTATTCACAGAACAATTTCACCTGATACCAAGAAAAAGTATCTTTCTAAACTTGATTAAATATCAATCTTTGATAACTTTTCATTTCATGTATGAAATACTGCAGACATATCATCCATGCAGTCTAAAAGATGAACCAATCAGAGACTGAACAAACCAAAGGAAATAAGTTCACTAATATGTGTGTCTGGAAATAAGATTAATATCAAACATTAAAGTTACAAGTTCTGCCACCAGATGGCGCATGAATTCATCCAGAGAGAGAAAGCATGTTGTGTGAAGACCAGGGCCCTTTCTGAATTGTCACAGTTCAGTATGCAGTACGTACTATTCAGTATGGAGTTTCAGTATACTGAACTTTCGTGGTCATTCAGTATGCATTTTTTGGGTCCACCTCAGTATACTGAACATTTCAGTATGGATACTAACTTCCGGGTTTTATGCAGTATGGATCGGATGCATCCTTTCAGGAAATGAATTGTGTTTTACCACCCACAATGCTGTGCGAATAGTAGGCACACACAGTAGGCACACACAGTAGGCAGATATTTGTGCCTACTTCTGATTCATTCAGTAAGGAAGTGACGTCATTTATGTTTCTGGAACCGGCCGCATTCACCCATTGTTGTTTTTTGTTTTGTTTAGCTTTCTTCAAGAAGAGTAATGCGCACATACAGTCAGGTAAACAAAACAATATCACAATGTAAATCAAGTAAAAGGCAGATTAAATAACTAAATAACATACAGTACATCAAGGAAAGAACAAATGAAAGACTAATATAGAGAATATAAAGTAAAATAAACCAATAAAGACGCATTTAAATAGTGAAATCATTATTTAAATAGAGAGGGAAAGGTTTTATAATAATGCTGATATTTGTTATATTTTCTGTTGTTAATTAAAAGTAGTGATTTCAGTCGGGACTTTAACTCTAGATTAAAAATTGTTTCAATTAATCCATGCTCGTTTGTTTTGATTTGGAGAAGTGACGTGACGATTTATGTTTAATTTCGCACAGCATTGTGGGTGGTAAAATACAATTCATTTCCTGAAAGGATGCATCCGATCCATACTGCATAAAACCCGGAAGTTAGTATCCATACTGAAATGTTCAGTATACTGAGGTGGACCCAAAAAATGCATACTGAATGACCACAAAAGTTCAGTCTACTGAAACTCCATACTGAATAGTACGTACTGCATACTGAACTGTGACTATTCGGAAAATGTCCAGGGGTCTCATTTATAAAAGAGAGCATAGAATCCATACTAAAAATGTACGTGCGCCAAAAACCCGGAAATGGCGTGCGCACAAAATGATTCAGATTCATAAAACCGTTCGTACGCACACCTGCACGCAATGTTCCCTTTATAAATCACGATCCACCTGGAAATGTACGCACGTAGATTAGTCCCATGTTCCGCCCTCTACACGCCCACAATCAACCATAAACGGTCAATGCAAAGCAGCTCGTGAATGAAAATGCACAGAGGGAGCAGATCAAAGGTTTCCAGCGCTGGATCGCGGTGAAACCCGGAAGTTTAGACAAAGAAACAAAACTTTCTGACCCAGAAACAGAGGAGGTTGTGAATGAAGTGAAGGTTACAATGTCGGTAGTTTGCTGCAGCAGGAGGATCATGAACTGAAGAAAAATCAGAGAATGACACCACGTCACTGCTGCATTCACCTTGTCCTATGTGCCAAAACATCCACCGTTCATCATTACGCACAAGAATATCTGCAATGTCTACATGTTTACGAGACCCACACTGATTTCTTAATATAGTGGCAGAGAGGACACATCAGTCAGCAGTCTCCCTCACTGTATGATATTATTAATCAAAGGTTTGATCAACTAACAAAAACGTTTAATTGTTGGCCACATTTTTTCTGTAGGAAACTCCATCTGCTCTGTGACTAATTATGATAAAATATATGGCTTAATGATCGTTTCAGAGATGCCCCGACTTAATGTCCACACTTGAATTCTTTAGAATAAATACGTGCTGCTGATGAAGACATGCTGAGTAACGAGAAGGTGAAATGTGTGAAGCCACCGCCGTGTCTCTGTGCGCTCTGTGCGTCTTAACGCAGGCATCTTTATTAAAACTAAAAACCACACTTGATGATAAAGGCACGATATTGAAAGATATTAATGAAAACTGGTGGCTCTATGGTCTTTGTGTTAGTCTAATTTTTAACTCTACATCAGTGATTACATTAGTGTACAAGTCCGGTCCTCTGAGGTCCGTCCGGGATAATGAAGTGTGGCGGACTTTTATTTTTTATTTTTATATATTTTCATAATGAAAGTTACTTATTGGAAACGGCTCACCACATGTGCGATTATAGCCTAAATAAAACCATCGGTTTGAATGATTATGATGACGTGGATCTGTCAGTAAAGTTTGATATTTAGTGAAATAAAATGTGGGAGAGATATCAATATGTATCTGCTGGCTGCAATTCACCACTTCGCCGTCTGTGTCGCCAATTTCCCATGCCTCCAAAATGAACGTACGCCTGGGTCAGAGTTTGCATACCGGTGAGCACATTTTACTTTCAGGTTTGTTTTTATAGATCACAAACTTTGTGTGGGAAAAGGCGTACGCCAGTTTCAGACCTCGTTTTGTGCGTACGCAACGGTTATAAATGAGACCCGTGCAGTGTGATTTGATCAGATCAGCTGCTCCCTTTTACTATTTTCTGTGTAAACAAAACCAGCTGCAGCTGCTCTGGTGAGAGTAGCCAGTCGGTCTTCATGCTGCAGCACCAAGACCTTCTTCAGGCCCATGAAGCACTCAGGGAAGTGATCTTTGGGTCAGTAATCTCGGTGTTTTCACATCCTTAAGGAATGTGATCATGCGTTTGTTTCACTTTCTCTCTGACTCAAGTCCTCTCAGCTTCTCTTCTGACAATAACTTGAACTTCCCTTCAGTCACCAGTTCATCTGTAGCTACAGGAACAGTTTGATGTTGGAATAACACAAACAGCTCATTGCTTCAATTCTCAGGAGGAATATTTTGTTTATTTGTGTGTGTGTGTGTGTGTGTGTGTGTGTGTGTGTGGGGGGGGGGTTACATGTATGAACCCACCTTTCTGACTGATGTATTCTCCTGGTTCACAGCGTCTGTGTTTCTTTGCTTCAAAACAGTCGTACCCTGTAAACTCTGAGCAGTAAAATCCTTCCAGAGGTTCACAAACTGTGTCTGATCGTATCGTACACGACGTCTTCATCTTCAGACCAGAACCTGTCAACACAAAGATAAATACAGACATACTCGACTGCTTTAAGACTAAACAGCAACATGATGAATCTGACTATTTAAAACACCTTCAAGCTGTAAACTCAAAGGAAAACATCTGAACCAATGAGAGATTCAGATTTAAGGTTTGCTCTAAAAACAAACTGAAAAAACAGGAAATACAGAGAACAACACTCCAGCTGCAGTTTCCTCATCAAGGACTCAGTAATAAAACTTCTGTCTTTAAATTAAAAAGGTAATAAAAACAACATAAACATTAATTTACCTGCTCCACATTCTCTGCAGGACAAACATTTTTTTAGTCCGTTCATTTTATTCATGAAAGTCCCCTCTGCGCACGGCTGACAGGATGTACTTTTGTCCTCCTCACAGTCTGTTTTTACTCGAGTCCCTGTTGAAAAGACAAACTTTAATGTCACACAATCAGGAAACAGACATTGTAGGATTTTATATCTGATAATGTTTGAAGATAAAGCATTGACTACAATCCACTCGCAGTGGACGTGTTATGTGTTACGACAACAAAAACCTCAAAACATCATAACTTTCATTCTAACTTTTTATTTTAAAAGCTGCCATGAAATCAGACACGTCAGGAAGAAACAGTCAGAGAAACATCCAGAGAAATCCTGGAGGGACAGATTGACGATCTTACCGATGGGACACATGGGACAGCACTCGTTTCCAAACAGATATTCTGTCCGATGGCAGGTGAGGGTTCGACTTACGAATATATTCATCATAAAAATCTGTGAAGAGAAAAAGAAACATCAGAAACATTCCTGTGGTGATGAAAATCCTGATCACGATTTTTTTCATACTGATCTTTAGACAAATTTGTTAGTTACTGACCAGTTCAACCAAACTTATTTCCCTGTATAATGTTTTTAAATGCACAACACTGTGCTGACAAGTTTAATCTATTTGAAAAACATCTTTGTAGGAGGTCTGGAGGTCTCACCCAGAACATCTTTAGCAACAGAAATGTCTTTCCCTCAATTTGATCAATATTTATGAACAATTTGAAGGTTTTCCTCACCACTTTGAAATTATGATTTAGTTATGTGTCCTCTTTTTATGTTCATCAGGAAGTGATGCATTCATTTAAAAACATGTAGACTTCAAGTTCTTGAAGTTCAAGAATTTCTACAGCTATAGCTTCATACAGGCTCTGCAGCCTTTGTTGTTTTTTATAACATCATTTTACTAACTTTAGTTTTGTTTATTTATAATCAAACATAATACAGAATGTGTTCATTCTGTGACACATGACCAAAGTAAGTTTTACTGACAGAAGAGTTTAATTCATAGAGGGGGCGGGACATCGTTGATTGACAGACGGACAGTCACCATGGTTGCCGATCTAAGATCATTATAGCGCCCACCACTAGTTTGAGGGGATTTCCATTTATTCACAAATATGTTTTTAATTTGAGTCATTTTATATATTCAAACTGCTCTGAAATGTGGGATGATGGAGGCTGCTGAAATAAGACACTTCACCTTCCCACTCAGAGGAATCTCTAAACCAGATGTGCTTTTTCTAGGAAAGGTTCAACCTTTCCTACACCTCTCCACAAACCGAGGGAAAAACCAATCAGAAGATGAGATGTAGCTTTCAGTGAACAGAATAATACAGTCCTTCAGGGGAAAGATCACAAAGACAGAAGTGTTGAAGATGAGGAGGAACAAGTGAAGATCATTTACCAGCAATAAAACCGTGAACCGAAGATTTCTTATGAACTTCATTTTAAACTCCAGGATCAAAGTTTCCTGGGGCTGAAGACGTCATCTCACTCAGATTTAGGGATTTAATGACGACATCACCTGAAAACAGAAAGAGAAATGCAGAAATTAAACACTGCTGTGAACATGATCATTTTTATAGCTTCTCTTCTTGTAACTGAGATGTGCAGCTCTGTTGACTCTCTCTCCCAGGATTCAGAGGAGCAGGTAGAGGAGAGAGGAGGGCAGCTGGTGGTGAGGAGGCTATTGTTTGGTTTGAAATAAAAAGTCCAGAAAACTGTTTGACTAAATGTAGACAATCTGACTCTATGATTAAAAAGATATTTTGTACCAACATGAATCATGATTCAATGATTTTTACCTAATGATCTCAGAGTGAGGATTCACCTAAAGTTCCCTTTAAAGACAACATTTAAGCCGTTTTCACATATGCACTCCAGATAATATCTAGATATTTACAGGAGGCCCGCTCCGGAGATTCTCCCGACCTAGCCATTCACATATGATCCTCACAGCGGGGGACTTTCCCTGTCAGGAGGGGGCGCTACACAACATTATAATGACAATATTTGTCTTTATATCAATGCTATGTGTAATCCAAT